AAAAAACTTTGATTAGAATACTTACTTATAAGAAAAATAAATTCGAAAATTGCAATAGTAGCAAAATATAAGCAAACAGGTTGTTTTCGATTTCTTGCATTAAGCATTATAGTAACAACAATTATATGACCAGGCATACCCAATAAAACACATAATAATGCACCAAAACGCCAAATAGTTTCACCAAGTAAATAATAAGGATGATATTTACATATTTCGATAGCTATTGGAGTTATTAAATTAGTTGAATTATCAATAGACAATAACATTATTATGTAAAATATTCAAATACGAAATGAACTATAAAATCATTATTATATTCGACGTTTTTCTTCTTTTATCAATACCAATGTTGTCGACTCCAATTACCTTTCAGTCTACTGATTCTACCGAAAGAGAAGTAACAAAAAAAAAGACTTTCTAACATCATTTCTTTTCTTTTTTTCTTTGTAAACTATTCTTCGATAAAAATAGAACTAACAATATCTATCATGATTACATAAAAGAAAGAAAAGAAGAAGAAGAAGAACATTGCTCGAAGTTTTTCTTAGCTCATTTAGTAAACCAAACATTTGATTTATTTTATTAGACTATGAATACTAAAATAGATTGTATCGATGTAATTTTTTTTCCTACGATTTAACAATCAAGATAAACTATGACGATATCTTACAAACAACAAAAACCTCTCATAGGACCATTACTTATCAAGACATATACAATGCTAACAGTGTTATATCGAAAATTAAATTATATTTGAAAAAATATTCTCTTCGGATTGGAGATCACTTCATAGACATGAATATTCATCAAATCAACTTTGCTACAAGATAAATGAAAAACGAATATTATTTTGATATCTGATATTCTTTATTCATAAGGAAAATATTTTTATTGTTTATCTTTATTTTCAACAATTGCTAATAATTGATCAACAAATTGAACAAAAATTGGTTCTACCATTGCTTTTTGCATATCATCAGCTGGATATAATGAACAATCTAATGACTTAATCATAGTTCGTAAATGACGATTCTTTAATAATTCAAGTACTTCATTTGATTGACCTATAAAGTTGAACATATAGTCTGAATATTTATCAATAAAAACAAACCAATTCGTTCAAGTATTTCTGTTGAAAGATGATCACATTCTTCATCATCACCAAGTTCTATTGGTAATTGAGTTTGTGTTATTGGAACTATATATATATATATAAGAACATTCTAACTACTAATCTTATTTTATCCTCCTAACTACGAATATTTATAGAAAATAAATTCAATTATTTCACTTACCTTCAACGATTGGTTTTACTTGAATATTATTTTCTACGCATAATTCTATTCAAATTAAATTAAATATAAAATCTTCATTCAATCATTTTTAATTACCCGATGATTTATGTTTCTGAAAACATGTAACTGAACAACTGAAAAATAAGAATTTTGTTATATAATAATTAAATATATATCATTTTCATTTATACATACTATTTAATATGACATTTCGGACATTTATAAGAACTATTTTTGTTTTCATAACAAACTTGACATTGCATATTTTATTAGTGTATATTTTTTTTGTCTAAAATTATCGTTAATCAATACAACAACAAAAAAAAGAAAATCACTTGAAAGAAGAAGAAAAAATCGAACTATTCATTCTCTTTAGATAGAAAGATATATAAAAATAATAGCACTTTTTTTTTATTGTTCATTCATGGAAAACAAAATATATATAGAGTTTCATCTGACAATCGGTACAATTTCACCGGTTCGTGCTGCTTCACGTATAGCAACAATTGTTTCTTGTACTTTATAAACAATTTCAAAAGATGTAAGGTCAGTAAATGTTGAACGTGGTATATGATTTATTAATGATTCTTTTAAATGTCCAATAAAATAATAAAATGATTGAATAAATATTAATGGTATTTCAGGATTTTCATTTGAAAATTCAATAAATTTTTCATTTGTATCAGAATGAAATGAATCAATTAAGATTTGTTCATCCGTATTAAAACGACGTAATATTAAACGATAATCATTAACTATAAGTGCACATTTCGATGCAATTATTATTAATTCTTGATTATATGTTGATGATATATGTGAATTTGATATAATATTAACAGATATAGGTGGTAAACGAATCGATCGATTATAATTTATATGAAATGAACAAGTTGTTTCATTAGGTGATTGAATATAAGCATGACTTATTGTTGATAAATATTGTGTACCAAATAAATAGAAAAGTATTGAAAGTGCAAATGAACCAAATCGATTCAAAAGACTACTATTTATTCGATCATTAGAACAAGATTTTAATGAGCAACAATGAATACGAAATTCAATTGATTGTATATCACCTATATTTGCATGTTCTTCAGTAAGATAACGTTTAAGTTTAATAAATGTTGGTAAAAATCCAATTGGATAACAATAACAACATAATTGTTGTTGAATTTGTTGAGTTGATATAAGAGATTTTGGATCGACATTAAATGGTGGCATACAAACAACATGATGAGTAGATGGTTTTATAATTGATGTAGTTATTATACGTTTTATCAGTGATAAATGTTGATCAGTTTCTGTACATATAAAAATAAGATAAGGTTGTGTAGCTGTATTTAATAAATGATCAAATTCATTTGATGAACATGAAAATGAATCGATATTTAATGTATCTTTACATAATGATGTAATATCAGATGTTAATCGACGAGGTGACCAAAGATGAACAATTTGAAAACTAAATGCACGTAAAAGTGGAACAACAATTTTAACGATTGGATTAACACCAATAATTATGACAGGAGGAGTGGACGGCATCTAAAATATTCTTAACTAAAAATACAATAGAAGGTAATGTTTTTATTATCTTTAATATTAAATATATTTCTGTTTAGTGTTATAAACACATTGAACAAAAGACTTATAATTAATTAAGATAAAATTAGACAATTCTGCTGCAGACTACACGAAAGAGAAAAAAGTCAAAGGCGCACCTTACTCTAACGAAATATATATATCGCATTGTAAAGGTGGTGTACGGATAACAAGTGGACAAATTTGTAAAAACAACACAAAATATAAAATATGAACTACTAAGAGAATAATATTTCATTGTATATATATTTTTTTGTTTTTATTCTTTATATCTATATTATTTCTTTCTCTCATCTCTCTAATATTCTGTTCATCAAAAAAAAAAAAAGAAAAGAAAACAACAATACTAAAACACATATATATAGAAATAAAACAATATGACCATTGATCAGTTTTTTTTTGACAATATGTTTATATATGTATATATATATAAGAATACCGACAACAGGAAAATGAAATAAAAGTCTATTTACAACCACAAGAAAACAAAAGACCTGCCAGAAAAGAAAAACAATTCGTCTCGGAAGAACGATATCAGATCGTTAGAAAATAAATACAAATGAGGAAAAAAAATAAGGAGAATACTGTCGACTAGGCTGTGTTTTTTGCTATTCACATGTATTGCATTTGACAAGAAAAAAAAGAACATGAGATTAGATGCACATTATCTTTTATAATTCATTCGAAATTAATACACCCAACTAACAGGTACCCATTGTGCTTGTACGCTGACTCGTTCGATAGCATGTTGTAACTAAAAATAAATTAAAATGAAAAAATAGAAATTGAATTTTTTTTTTGTTTTTTACTGTTCGTATCGTTTCTTCAATATCATTATTAACAATAATATAATCAAAATAATGTCCGTATGCTTGTTGAAGAAGTTCACTTTCTTTTACTAATCTTTCTAAACTATCATCCTACAAAAATAAAAATATTAACTATAAATTATTTTCGTTTTAATTCTTCTTACATTAACTCCTTTGATTTGTGAAAGATCTGGTGCAGCAATAAAAACAACATAAGGTGCAAATTCTGCTGTACGTAAAACTTTTAATGCTTGTGGTTCAACATCAAGTATGCCCATAAGACCTTGTCGATTAATATTACGTATTGTTTCAAGTTTTGTACCATACATTGCATCTTCATGTGTACCATATTCTAAATATTCATTATTAGCTATATCACGCATCATTTCTTCATGTGTTACAAAATAATAATTTTTTCCATTTTCTTCTTCTTTTTTCGGTAATCTTGTTGTGTCTATGATAGACAAATTTATTTTATTTAATTATAAAGAAAAAATAAATATTTACGAGGAATTGGATAAGCAAAATGTTTAGGTTGACTAGTTATCAAAGTATTTTTTATATGACGACGACCAACACCATGTGCACCTAAAAAAGAATATAATTAATTATAGAATAATTTCAATTTAAAATAAGATTTTACCAAGTAAAACAAGTGTTTTTCGACGAAATTCAGGTAATCGAATAACTTCTTCATATGTAACCAGATCAAGCTGATCAAATACAGCATTATGTTTTGCTAAATATTTATCTTTCATTACTTTGCGTTTTCGACCAAAAACGCCGCAGTTAGCTAAAAGAGAATAAGAGAGGTTTTTTTTCTTTTATTATATTGACTTATGAAATGGGATAAATCAATGAATATGCCATTTTTTCTATCGTATTGTTCAAATCAGTTAGATTGAATACGAACGAAAAATAGCTTTGATTAAACTCAAGGTTATTCTAAAAATCAAGTGAAGATGATTTAGGCTATTGCAACGTTTAACAGTCATGTATTGTTCGATGTTCAGAGAATGATTGCCTTTGATTTACTATGAACATGATAGAATATTTTTTATTGAAAGTGACTTTTATATAATTTTAATTCAAGATTCTTTGTTCGACATATTACAGTACATTGAGAATAGAAATTATATAGAACTGTCTTCTGTATTTGTACAAATATAAGTCTGTTGTGCAAACATTTTTCTTTACTGTAATTATGTATCAACTTTATTACAATTTCTAATTATAAATAGCCTATGTACATAATGAACGGAATTAAATAATTTATATTCAAGAAAAGCTCTACTCGAAAAATGATGTTTATTATCGCGTGGATAGAGATTACTAGTATGCTGAAATGAACCATATATTAATCGAGACTTCCGGTTTTCAAGCTCATTGAGTATTTTATGTACTGAACAGAATTTTTTCTCAAGAGTTTTTATCTAAATATTATTTTTGATCAATATATATATAGTAGAAAATTGATTCGGACAGTAAAGGATAAAATTACTTGGTGATTAACGATTGATTTAAATCAAAACTATGAAGTGTAGAAGTCAATAAAAATGCCATATATTAATTTATCTCAGCTTTTCGCTTCAATGACATCTAGTCGATTTGAAAAAACGGAAGAAAATTTGAATAATAAGATTAAGAAAGAATTTTCTTGTTGTCATCATCATCATCAACGAAACTCCAATAACGATTTACATCTTTTTGGAAAATACCAGAAAGAAAGAAAAAACTTCAAATGTAAATAAACAATTCTAAATCAATCACTAATTAATTCCATATTATTTATAAAATCTTCAACATGGCAATATTAGTTAAAGATAAATCCCAAGGGAGAAAAAATTTTTCCATTCAATGCTCATATCTATTAGGAATCTGTAATCTATTGAGAGGAAAAAAACATCTTTTTCTCTATCTGTGTCGTTTCTTACCACTTCCATCCTTCGCTTTTTCAATAGCATTCGTTGCTATTCTCCATTCTTGTAATTCTGGTGATGGTATTAGACCGGCCGGTGAATTATTATAGTCACCATGATAATGGTTGATAGTTTGTTCATCAGTATTATGATGTGAAATAATTTTTTTTGCTTGCCACCAATTATGATCATCTTTTGATATTATTTGTAATATATCTCCAATTGAAAATTTAATACCTGCTTGAGCACTTGGTATCAAATCATCATCTTTAGGATCATAGTTAAATAGAGTTTTTACATAAATCTATAATAAAAACAAAAATATTCAATTTTTTTAATAAATAATAATTTTCTATTCATACATCACAAGGTGGTGGTTGACTTCGATAACTAGGCACAATTTTAAATGTGATACTCCCACGAGCATCTTTCTATAAATTAGAAAATCAAAAAAAATTATATTTCAAAAAAACATGTTTTATATACCAGCATTTGTTGTAAATATTGAATAGGATGATTTGAAACTGTTTGTCCATTGATTTCTTTAATTTCATCACCAACATGTAATGTTCCCTGTCGATGTATCATTCCACCATTAAGAATACGAGATACAATACATCGTTTATTTTCTGTCATACGAAGTGTTATTCCCTATATAATAAATAAATGTCAATAAGAAAGATTTCCTTTTTTTTTCTAATCTAAATTTAATACCAATGGTTCATCTGTATTACGTTGAAATTGAACGAGTCGTACGCGTGTTACATCACATGTTGTATCATTTATTCCATTACCACTAACTTCATGTGGTCCAGCATCATTATGACTACCATAATCATTATCAAGACCAGGTTCTGATGCTAATGTATTATTATTATTAAGAAATTGTGGTGTAATACGTATCGCATCATCACCATAGACTTCTTGTGCCACAACATCATGTGCTTGTAAAAGAGCCTATTAAAAGAAAAAATTACAACAAATAAATAATTTGAAAAAAGAAAACCAGTAGGCCAATTTCAAGTAGAATACGATGTTCATTTATACTGTATGTTGTCATTGTTCGATTTCTTCTTATCTTGATAGATTAATCATATTTAATCTATTTGACTTTCTATATAGTAGTCAACGGAAGATAGTACTTATGAACATCAGTTGTTCTTCCGAAAGCATATTATTTTTTCCGTTGAGTAGAAGAACAAGTAAAACTGTCATATACATGTGACTGTCTGTCGAAATTTGCTTTTCTCGATAGTGACAAGAATAGTACACATAGAGAAAAAAAAGAAAGAACGTCGAAGATTGGATTTTGTAGATGATGATGAGAAATCCATGAAGAGAGTAATGTATACACTAACAAACGCAAATTGCCAAATTGTTGATAGATAGAGAGCAAAAAAGCGAATGACGACGTCGGCCTAATAGAACGAACATAGACAAGATATAGCAATTGACATTGTCAACGCCTATGTTTGGTACTGTCACTCAATCATCGAAACATGGATAGAACAAAAACAATTTACTCGATATTAGTACTAAAAAAAGATTTAATTTACCTTTCTTGCCATTACAAATCTTCAAGTAATAGAATAATTACGAAGAAAAACATAGAAGTATGCTTAAAAATAAGACACTCATCTTCTCGTCTTTTTTTCTTTCAACTACATAGAAAGTAAATTAAGCAGACATGTTTATATACATTATTAATTTTTCTTCATGTCACTTCGCATATAGTCACAATCATTTCATTAGAAAAATTTATATATATATAGAAAAGCATATTTAATCAACAATTACATGATAAACTATAAAAAGAATAGTTTCTTTTCTCTTGATATTAGATACATACCATTAGCAAAAAAAAGGAAAAAGGTATATATTTATACTTTCATTAACATTATTAATAGCATTGTGACACAAGTAGTAATAAGAAATTTATTGATCTATCCTTAGAAGTAACGAGACAAATGATAGATTCTTAGAAAGAATAATATTATTTCTCAGCAATTTCTTTTCTCTCATTTTATATCTCTCTTGTTTCTCATCTTTTTTCTCCTTCAGTGTTGTCTGTTTGTCGTATGTCATCGCTTTTGTTTGATCTAAACACACAAGAGAGTGTACGTCTACTAATCGTTTCTGTTGGGCAAATTTCTTGTTATCAGAAATACATGCATTGAATGGATGGAAGCAAGATGGAATAGATAGATTGATCGATCCGTTCAATGTTCCCGTCGGCTATGTAGTAGAACATTTAATTCAATCGATTCGTTCCATATCTTTCCATCAAGTTCGTTTCGGTTACATCTCATAAATAGAAAAGAAATAAAATCGAACACTCTAAAGAATACTAAACATGTATCTTATTGAAAAACAAAATATATGAGTAAATTTTCCTTCTTATTTTGCTAACAATAGAAATAAAATAAACAGAAAGACACTAATCAAATTGTCATTTTTTTCTTCTTCTTATTTAGATAAAAAAACAAACAAACGAACGAACGAAACCAGTGAATAAAAATATTCTCGGTTTTTTTAAATAAACAAAGATATCGATTTTTTGAGAGTATATACTTCAATTATACTTACTTGTTTCATATGTTCAAGTACACAATAGATGCGTAAACTGTGCTCATCCATTGTAAAAGAAATAATAGAGACAATGATGGCACAATTTGTATCAATAACAATAATAACAAGAAGCATACTTCTTGCCAACAAACTAGATCCAACTATGGATAAGTACGTTGCTTAAAAAAACAACCATGTCAGGTAAATATTTGAATAGAAAAACTACTTTCAGATTTTTCTAATAGTAAAAAATCAATACTAGCGATTGTCATCATCACTACAATCTGATGGATCTCTAATAAATAGATAATCAAAGAAAAGTATTGAACGAAGAGAAGCGAGAAAAAGATAAGAGCAAGAAGAAAAAAAAAGAGACAGATATAGAAAAAAAAGAGAGAGTAAAAAGGGAAAAAAATAAGAGCGATGATGAGCCCATAGAGATAGACGATCAGATTTCAATCATCTTTTGCTTTTTATTCATGTTAGACAAGATAATATACATAAGAAACAATGAATTATGTCCCTCCTTTTTTATATATATTTTACTTACTTGTAAATGTGGTTCAAGTAAAATTTCAAGAAGATCATGAGAATTTGTTGATTTATCTGGATAAGTCCCTTGTTCAATTAATGTGATAATATTAGAAACAGTTTGTACAGCATTTGAATCAGGAGGATTATATGGACGAACTTCGTCTGAATTAATACGATCATATAACTAATAGGAAAACAAATTCATATAGATTAAAAATCTTTTTCTTGGTTTCTTTTACTTCAAGTAAAGTTTGTAATTGTTTATCTTCGAATAATTTTTGTAAAAACTCAAGTTCAACACGATCACCAATTGTTAACCATTGAGTATCTTCTAATGAATCGAGTATTTGTGAAACAGCTAGAATAAAAAAATAAAATTTTTTGTTTTCTTCATTTAAAACTTAACTCTAACACTATGAAACTCTTTATGTGTGTATGTATATATATCACCTGTTTCGTTTTTCATTCTTATAATGTTGATAATTTATGAATAATGTAACTCAATCAAATAATAATATTGAAGAAAGGTACATTCTGTGTGCTTGAAGATAGATAAAATAATAAACTAACTTGTTTCTGTTTCTATTCTTTGCACCAAAGCTTAAGGGTATATTAGAAATAATCACTTTCGATGAAATATGAACGAAGATGTCATTTGTAGATGTGAAATAATCCTGATAGTAATAATAACCAAACGAACAAGTGTATATATCATGAATTAAGTCAAGATATATATATTTGATTGAATGTAATAGTATAAGGTCGCAAATAGAACAAACACATCGTTTCCATCTGTTTGCTATCTTACCGTTATGTATAATATTTTCAGAATGTGAACGACAACTATTACGATGTTGCTGATGATGATGAGACTGAAGATGAGAAAGCATGCGCGTCTCGAAGCAATTAATCTACTCTATATGTGTATGTCTGTGTTCGGTTTCCTTCATTACTTCTTACATTTTCTTTAACATATAACTGACAAAGAGAACAAGAGAGTAAGTAATAAAGAGAAAGAAGAAGAAGAAGAAGGGATGAATTCCTCTCTTCTGTGTTTGTTCATATTATCACTGATGATTAAATGATGAGCGAATATATGCAGATAATTACATAGTATTCTGTAAACTTTCAACTTACCAGATGATGCCATATCATCAAAATCGTTTTGACTTATTGTCGGTGATAAATCTCGTGGTACACCTGGCAATAGATTTGTTGTTGTCATTGGTAAATAAATTGGTATTTGTGACCAACGAGGACTTGATACAGCTGCTAATACTACACCCTATAGAAAAAAAAGAAATGTATATAATTAAGATAAATATTAAGATAGACGTAATAGAATTTATTTTTTCTTCTTCTATCTGATAAAAATATGTGGATTAACTATTTCTTGATTAAGCTGTATGAGTGTATCATAGAATTAACATATGTTATATTTAGATAAGAGAGAAAAAAAATCCAGGAATATGTTAAATTAGAAAAGTTCTAAGTTTTCATTAGAATAAATCTAAAAAATTACCTTCGTTTATAATGATATTTACAGACAAGTTTATTACGGGAAATATAAATCTCATCTAACAAGTTAGGAATTTATTTTTTTATAAATATAATCTTTTAAGATGATTTTTTTACAGATCTTTCGTAAGTGTTTAAATATAAAAATATAATTAAAGTAACAATACTGAATCTTTTTGAGCTCAAGGGGTATATAGCATATATATATAATGAAAATCTAATAAGAAAAAGTTATTTACCTTTAATTTACGACGAGCATTGAATTTCCGTAATTCTTCAACAGTATCAGGTAAATGTTTTCTCAGTGCAAATTTTTCACGTTCCTAAAAAATATAATATAATAGATATATACGCATTATAATTTAATTATTCTTTTCATTAAATTATATTCGGTAGGTATTCTAATTGACTGATTTTTTTGCAAGAGTACAGAATAATCAGTCTTGTTAAGTGATTGTGTATTTCCTCGATATAAGTTTAACATATGTCAAGTAGGTTTCTCTTGATTAGCTCTTTCTGTAAACAATTCAACAATTATCTATTGACCGTGATTAATCCAAAGAAAAAATACAGTAATAAATCTATTTTCAAACAATATAGAGAAAGAGAAAATGGCAAACCTGAGCTAATAATTTGTCATTTTGGTTCGTAATATTTTCTTAGTATTATTAGATCTTCGTAATTATTAACCAAAAAAAACTAATCATGACATGACGAAAAGACATTCATATATACAGTGTGAACTAGAGTTTGGAAAAAGATGATAAAATTATATGATGTAGGCGATTATATTTATTACTTCCTTCCCCTTCTTTTCTATTGTCTTGATGAAACACTTCTCTATATTTACTGAACGTACGGCTTCATTATTTGCAAGCAAGAATCTTCTATTCAAGTTTACTTACAATTTTATATAGGTATAGAAAAGATTTTTATGTTTATTCTCTTTTTCTTTCTTTATCAGTGGCTTCGTGATTCTAATGTTTTTTTCCTTAAGAGAGTGGGTGAGACCTCGTGTGTTTGTTTTTCTGAAGATTAAAATACTTAAAGTTAATGATACTCAAGCCACCCACTTTTTTTTTCGTTTTCATCTCAAAATCACGCATACGAGTCTTCAACTCGATTAAATTATTAAATATCCCTATTTTCAAGCGACATGTCACGATAGTATATCTTATTTTTTAATAAAAGAGAAAAAAATTGTCTCTATCTCATGAGATTATCTAGCTCTATTGACAGTTCATACTAACGTAGAAGTTGTGAAAAAGTATAAAAACTACTTCTTTAGAAGTATTTTATTAAGATAATAGAGTTAAATAATATAGGATGACATGCATTAGAAATATAATGTCACATAAATAGTTTGTAGTAATAAAATTCTTACAAATAATCTGTGAATTGTTACTATAGAATTTTATCTAACTATACATAATGTTATATATTCTATATTCTATATTCAGCAAACCAAACTAAACAGGTAATCAATTATGAATAGTAAATAGAGCGTAGAGACGTTTTTTTTTCTCGGTCACTTCCAGTGTGCTATTATATAATTAACTGAATCAACAAAAAGAACCTTTTCCGATATTATCACGATAATTGTAAATATTAGTTACTAGGAAAATTTTAGAAATTGTTACATCCGTCTTTTTTTTCGGAATATAATAAATGTTTAAAATAAATTAATCTATCTCCAATATACTCGAAATGTTAAATTCTTAAACACAAAACTTATGTAAACAATTCATTTTTCTAATCTAATTGTTTTATATAATATCTGTATGTTTTTCTTCATTAACTCACTCGAATCCATGGATGTGCAAGTGCTTCTTTAATAGTTATTCGTTCATTTTGATTTAAACATAATAATCGAGTGACAAGATCTTTAGCAGATTCAGATATATGTTCCCATTGTTTGCTTTGCATCTAAAAGATAATACAACATTATCAGCTTAATTCTTATTGTGTGTGTGTTTTTTTCTTTAAGAATATTACTTACGCTATAAACACCTTTTGTAATCATTTCAAAAACTCGATTTCTTGTACCAGCAAATGGTAATGTACCAGTTAAAAGTACGTATAACATAACACCTAATGCCCACATATCAACTGGACGACCGAAACCTGGTGATTCTTTATTAACAACTTCAGGCGCCATAAATGCTGGTGTACCAATACGACCACCTTGTATTAAACCAGATTCAGGTAATTGTAAAGCTACACCAAAACCACCTAATTTAACTGGTGCAGCATTTTCTTTTGATGATAATAATACACAATGAGGTTTTAAATCGCGATGAATTATACTACGATCATGAATGTATCGAATAGCTTCAAATATTTGACGCATATAGTGACTACAGGAAATTAACGGAAATGTTTCAAAAGAAAGGATATACTTAATAGATATTTACCTAGCTACAGCCTCGCTGTATACAAAACCGGCAAGAGCACGTTTTTCAATTTCAAAGCATAAATCCGATCCATCCATGCTAGAAGAAAAAAAATAATGAGAAAAAATTGACGTTTATTTTTTTGTTTATCAGTACAAATTGATACATACTATTCAAAAACCATAAAAAGACAACCTTCTGATTCAAATGTTTCATATAATTCAACGATATGTGGATGTTTAAGACTTGAACAAATACTTGCTTCACGTCGTAAATCTAAATTATAATTTTCTTCTTCTTTAATTAGAACAAAAAAAAAATTATACCATCCGCAGAAAATCCTGGTGTTGCTGTAAATTGTTCAACATCAATAATTTTAACAGCATATTGTTTATCACCTGTCTTATTTGTACAACGACGAACTACACTGAATGGCCCTCTATGAAAATAAAATATTATTATTAAATTGCTAAATCAGAAAAGAAGCATGCATACTTTCCAATAATCTCATAGAGATTATATAAATCAGCAAACGATGTTGATGTTTGTTCGTCATTATCGGGTATTATCGTAGTTGTTTCTGTATGCATGATGATAATCGACGAAACAACATCAGTAGATGCTCATTGTCGATAACTACAAGAGAAGAAAAAAACTAGACATATATACAGAATATTCAAGCACGACGTCAACGATGAGCGAATGATAATATGAAGGATATGTTAACATTAGCTTTTGTCCTGAATAAGTGAGTGAGTGAATGATGAACTCAATGCGACAAAACGACATACTAGCCATGCTTCGGAAAAAGGCTAATCAGGCTAATTTGATTGCATTTCCTATCATCCTAACATGACGGATCCGAACAAGCAGATGCAGCAACAGCAATTAGCTTTAACCAACTTGAAGAGGAGAAGGAAAAAAAGTCGAGAGGGAGAGAGAGAAAAAGGACGAAGAAAAAAAAAAGTAAACAAATAACAAGAAACAGAACAAATGATTGATCTAACTGACAGATGCATTGGATTCGTCTATCGTGTGATCTTTGTTTATTAATATACAGAATGCTGATTTTTTTTTCGAAACGAACTCATTTGTCAAGATTTATAGATAGATTGTCGTCAACGAGATATAAATAAGATTTTTGACATATGTAACATCTGCTATTTAAAAAGATTGACAGATGACACTAGTTGTTGTTACATTATCATGAAGAATTTTTATATAAAGATCTTAGACAACTTAATATCATCGAAATTACATCTCACATTATTCATGATTATCATTTTCTATCTTTACTAAACCGAAAAAGTCAACTATTCTCATTTTCTAACTTCTAATATTTAATTCTCAAAATAATTTTGTGACATTTTGAACTAACAAGAAAAAAAAAGAATGAATATAGTAATCACTAAAGTAAGACGTAGCTTTTAGCTACTTCGGTTCAATTAGAATCGGCCATTATATAAAGCCAAATGTAGACAAAGTAGTTATTTAACTTGAAGCAAAAGGTAAGTATACGAAGTTCATAGACGTTCAAAGTTTTTGTTTATGAAATTAACATTGAAACTTAAAATTTATCAGGAAAAAATTCTATAGCATATATAATTTAATTGATAATTGCTAGGCTCTTGATTTTGTTATTTTGTTACGAAATAAAATTAACTACGATAGCAATCAATACTCAAATACGAATCATTGTTTGATAAATCAAAAGATTATAACACTAAATCAAAATCTGAAAGATGTATAAGAAACTAACAATATTAATTATATACAGGATTTTTAGTTAAATATCATGATCTTTTGAAACGAATTTGCAATAGTATTGAATTATATATACTTTTATATAAACATTAGCTAGGTATTTGGTTGATTGATAATGCAATACACTGTCAATCACAGTTGTGATAAATAAATCATTATTTCTTTGTTGTTATGTTTTGATTCTAATGATAGGATTCAAATAACAGTTGACACTATTGTATATTTATATAATAAAGTATATGATATGAGCTTATAATAAGGCAATGGAACTACTGATCTTCTTCTTGTACTAATGGAATAAACATGCCTTTTACTTATAGGTTTTATTATTTATGAATTTTTTATTTTGTATTCCTTGTTGTTTATTGATTACTCATTTATTGTCTAGCTTCATGATATTTTGATTAATGATAAATAATACATTGATTTTCTTTCTCCCATATCTGATGGATATATTTTTGAGCGAGATGAATACTCTGAGTACAAGCGCCGCCGATTATATGATCTCGCAATAAATTAGATACATGCTTAAAGTAAATAGGCCATCTTATTCATCTTCATAATTATAAACGAAAAGTAAATACATAGTAGTGATTGACAGCTTAACATAGATATATACTATGTATGATTATTATTGATGTTGTCAAAATTTGCAAAGATATTGATCAATTTCGTGATATTTAGACAAGACAATATCCAGAACGGGTACAGACTATACTCTTAATCAAGTTGACCTTTCACAAAAAAAAGAAGTGGATTTAATTGAACTGAGTACTTGTCTCTTTTTTTTATTCCTTTGATCTATCATTTAAAATATCTTTATTATAATAGTTGAATCAATACAGATCATATACTTATTTTAACTTGCGACTATTACAGGTTAAAAAAACGTCAGATTCTATTCCCCTAATATAATTATTTACTGTCTTTTATATACATATTTTATTCTTTCAACAATATGGAAATTTGTCAACCCTTCATCTCAGCATGTATAATCAGTGACATCAGATAATTATCACTATAGTTTATCGACACTAGAAACGCATAGATACGAAATGTATTGTTTAGATGATGACATATTTTCATATAAATCGAATTGAAATAATTTATCATGAAAAATATTTATGATAAAGAAAGATAAGAATATTCTATAATATTTCAAATGATAAAAATGTACGGTTTAATTAGTTGATTGTAGTGCTTATTATCGATGACGCCATCTAACTATCTTGATTATCATAAAAAACCATCAAAGTGCGACATCACTCGTTTTAAGCAAAGATATAAGCGACACCCAAAAAAGAACTAATAATTTAAGAAAAAAACAATGTTTATTAGCGATATTTCCTATTTTATTTTCATTTTTAATTAAATATAAAACATTAAATAGAAGATCTTTTCGTTATTTTTCATTTTGAACAACAACATCATAATAACACGCAAACAAATACACACACGCAGCAGTCATTCGTTCGGTCGACGATGTCTATATATGTTCTCGCAAATGATCACATGTTTTGTTTTCTTCCTTTCACGATACAATTTTTTTTTTCTTATCATCAATGGTCAGCTGATCTCTCTGTATTCAATAATATGAACTAGAAAAAAAAGTGCACTTGATAATAAGCAAAAAAATATATATATCGATATTATTTATTAATAATAATAATGACAACATACCTGACACCTTAGGATTTTTCAAGGTCGTTAATAATATTTTATTTTTTAGACTCATACATAGTTTAACATATTTTATTTTACGATATTATTCATTCAACAATGTGTTCACCATCACCTGGTAAACGTCGAATAGATACGGATGTTATTAAACTGTAAGAGTTGTTTTTGATCATATGTTTTCAATTTCGAATAATTCGTTTTTTCGATTTTACTTTATTTTTAGTATTGAATCAAAACATCAAGTAACGCTTATGTCGGGTCTCAATGAATTTATGGTTAAATTTGCTGGTCCGCGTGAAAGTAATAAACTTCTTTTTAACGATATTTTAGTAATTAAAAGTTGATATTTATCATTTAGCTCCATATGAAGGTGGAGTATGGAATATTCGAGTTGATCTTCCCGAAAAATACCCATTCAAATCACCATCAATTGGTATGTATAGATAAATGTGAACATAAAATACATGACTCTGAAATATAGAAAAACATGCCTTGATTTTCTGTTTTACTCCCGATAGATTCTATCCTAGAATTATATCGATCGATATTAATTATAAAGTAAAGATTATTGCATTTTTCTATCTAAGTTATAAAGTCTTTTCGAAAGCTTGAAGGATAGATTATACTGATAAGTTTGATACGATTGAAAAACTTATGATTGATATTTTCTAGGCTTTATGAATCGAATTTTTCATCCAAATATTGATGAAATGTAAGTAAAAATATTGTTTTGTTTCTCAAATTCAAATTTATTACTTAATAATAGGTCTGGTACTGTTTGTCTCGATGTAATTAATCAAACATGGACGCCAATGTATGGTATGTATTGAAAAATATTTTCTGTTATAAAATATTTATAGAAATATAATTTGTTTTTTTAGATCTCGCTAATATTTTTGAATCATTTCTTCCACAATTACTTGCCTATCCAAATCCGGTGGATCCGTTAAATGGTGATGCAGCTGCTCTATATCTTCACAAACCTGATGATTATAAAAAAAAAGTCAAAGGTAGTTTTATATCAAAAATAAATAAATAAAGATTTATATTGTTTTTTTTTCTATTTTTAGAATACGTTCAACGTTTTGCTACAGCTGATATGGCTGAAAGTTTATCATCATCTTTAAATGGTCAATCATCGAATAATTCATCATCGAATAATAATTCTAATCAAACGAATGGCTCAAATAATTCGAATCAGACAAATAAAAATGAATCCGATGATGAAGTATTAAGTGATTTTAGCGAAGATGAAACTGCCAATATGGATTTAGAATAAATCATGTGTTGATATACTTCTTTCTAATTATTTTTTTTTGCAGTATATACATAGACTTGTTTTTCTTTTTCTTTCGATCTTTATTATTATTTCCTATAAATACTCTCCTGTTTGTCTATTTGTTTTGTTCCATCTTCTTTTTCTTCTTCTTCATC